CCCTGCCTGCCCTGCGGGGCAGAGGGGACATGTGAGCCCAGTGTCCGTGACCCCAGGGTACACCCATGAGCACGTGAGGGGCTGAGTGGCTCCAGGAGGATGCAGGGTCTGGACAAGCCCCACGTGGGGTGGGCAGAGTGGGGAAATTGCCCTCCAGCGTGGCCGGGCTCGGGAGGTGCCCAGTTCCATCTGTCCGTGCCTGTGGGGCTGGAGCAGGCGGTGGCCACTTGGATGAGGTGTGGACTCCAAGCACAGAGGGAGGGGTGGCAGCAGTGCAGCACAGGGGGAGCTGGAACCCATCAGGACTTCGGGGAGAGCTGAGGAGTCCACGTCACTGTCACCAGGAACTGTGTGCTGGCCCGCACGGTGTCACAGACAGGAGAAGTCACTAGAGAGTTTAGATCCAAGTGAATTGGCATGGCTGCTTTGGACTATGGTAACATGGGAGCAATTCTATTCCATGGCCTTTAATACATTTCATTTTCATAGCACCTTTCATCCCAGGGTTTAAGTGCTGTAACGGAAGCAGGTACTGTGCACCCATTAGCACGGGGGAAACTGAGGCACAGAGTGGTTTAGTGATTTGCCTTGGGCCACTTGGAAAAACCGTGGCAGTGTCTGGACAGCCTTAAACCTCCTGACTCCCTCAGTTGGTGAGACCACACTGCTGCCTCACATGAAGCCACTCCACTCCCTGCCCTCCCCAGCAACGTGCTCCTACCCATTCTTCGGTGAAGTCTCATGCTCCTTTTTGATGCACAAATATATGACCAAAAAAAAAAAAAACCAGAAAGAAAAAAGAAAAAAAAAAGTGCAGTAAACTAAATGTTTAAAAAAGCACATTTGTGCTGTCTCTGTGCAAAGATAAAAGAAATAAATACATGATTAAAAAATTAAAAAGGTTCACAGTATCACACATGGATAGGTAGCTATGGTAGTGCACATCTGGAAAACACTGTGTTACTACCCAGGATTCTCTACACCCAGCTAGAATTCTCTGCTGGGAGCTGCGGGTGAGAGGGTGGTTTCTTTGCTGCCCACGTCTGGGGTGAGTAGAAATACATGGTTATAGTTTTGCTCCATTCTGAAACAGAGTGCCCGGGATCCTGCAGTGCAGCAATACTGGTGTCAGCAAGCTCTTCCCCATCCCACTGGAATGGCTGCATCAACGAAAAGGGAACACATCGACCTGCAGAGGGAATCGCTGCTCTCTGGGACTTCTGTGTCTGCATAGAGATTACTGCAAAAGGCAGAGAGAACAGAGTCACAGAATCATGGAATCATTAGGGTGGGAAAAGATCTCCAAGAATACCAAATTCAGCATTAGCCCAGCACCACCACCAAGTTCACCACTAACCCATGTCCCCAAGTGCCACAGCCACATGTCATTTGAACACTTCCAGGGATACTCACACCACCACTGCCCTGGGCAGGCTGTTCAACCTGACAACCCCTTTTCAGTCAAGACATTTTACCAAATATCCAACCTAAACCTCCCCTAGCACAGTTTGAGGCTGTTTCCTCTTCTGTCCCTTGTTCCCTGGGAGCAGAACCTGACTCCCCCCTGGCTGTCCCCTCCTGTCAGGGAATTGTGGAGAGCAAGGTCCCCCTGAGCCTCCTTTTCTCCAGGCTGAGCCCCCCCAGCTGCTCCTCATCACACTTGTGTTCCAGCCCCTTCCACATGTCCACTCACTTCTCTGGACATGCCCCAGCCCCTCCATATCTTTCTGGTTGTGAGAGGAAAGAGGATCAACCCCTGAGCACCAGTGCCCACATCAGTCAGGTCTCTGTCCCGCCAACTTCCCAGCACAACCAGAGGCTGTTCTACATCCTCCAGAAATGGCAACATGTCTGGGAAACCTGAGCTCCCCAAAGTTTTTCCTGCACCAAACAACTGGGAATGAGCCACAGCCCCTGCTGAGCAGGCCAGGGCTCTGCCAGCACAGAGCTGACCTGAGAGGCAGCTGGGCTCTGCCGCAGCCATGCAGGAGCCCCACGCTGCCAGAGGCCGCGCTGACCCTGCAGGGGGAGCACAAACTGCGAGCCCGACACAGCGGGCACCCACACACGGCTCTTGGACACTTACTGTATCGCTCTCCTCATCGGAGACAGAGTGCAGCTGAGTGCTATAGTGGAGCGGGGAGTAAACCCAACTCCTCTCGTCTGTCGGCTGCCAGAGTGGCCAGAGACGGCAGGGAGAATGCAGGGAGAGCAGCAGCAGAGCAGGGAGCAAAGGAGAGAAGAGGAAAAAATAAAAGGAGAAAATAAAAAGAGCAGGAAACAATACAGTAAGAACAGCTGTCCACCTGGAGGGAGAGCACTGAGGCCAGAGGCAGCTCTCAGCAGAGGAGCCCTCCTCATCCTCAGCACACACCAGCTCCCTGCCAACTGGGACAGGGGACCTGTGCCAGCTGCAGTGGGGGTGGCACACCCTCTCCTCTCGTAGGGACAGAGTTTTAGAGCTTTTGAGATGTCAGGGAAACCTCAGCTCCCAGCCATGGCATCATCCTGGCTGCAGAGAAACTGAGAGATCTGGGAAGTGACTTACCTAAGAACAGTGACAGCTCCTGGCTCCTGCTACCTGCTCTCACCCTCCCATTTCCAGAGCCCTGTGCATGCTACAAAGTGATATCCAGGAGGGCTTTTACAGGGAAACTGGATTTGTTTGTTGTGCCTTCCTCCTTCTCTGCAGAAGGCAGTGGAGCTGGGGTGAGACCATGGAGGATGGTGGCCACAGAAAGGAAACAGTTATTGCTGAGATTTTGGGGACAGTGGGGTGATGGGAACAAGTACAACACAGGAGGCAAAACACAACGGGACCCTGGAAAGAATGAGGGGAAGGAGGTGTGCCTTGAGGGACAGTTATCATAGCACTGGGCACTGTTGTGAGAAGACACACACTGCTGCCTACACAGCACAGATTCAAGGGCTGGTCTCTGCTGCCAGTGTTCCCAGGGGTCCCCCATTTACATTGCAAACAGGCTCTTTTGTCTCCAGAGGAGCTCCCAGAGAGAAGAAACTGCCCCCTTTGACCCAGCCTGGCATTTGCAAAGGAAGATAGTGCAGAACTGGGTGTTTGGAAGAAGCCTGCAGTGTTCCCAGCCCAGGAACTGAGCGTGACAGTCTACAATGTACAAGGAACTAAAAGAAGCCAGAGAAGCTTTGAAGCACTGGGCTCCACATGCTGAACCCCCCAGTAACTGCAGCTCCATTAGTAGAGACTGCTGGGAGGAAGGAAGGCTGAGAAGCCACTGTCTGGAGCTTCTCACAGGGCTCTGTCAGAGGTACAGGAAACCTCCCCACCACATCAAGCTTGTCCCACATCCTCTTTTTCATCCATGATAGTTTGTCCATCCTGACTGAACCACATGCTCCAGCCAGTTTCTTTCAGAACCTTTTAGGAGTTTGGATGCATGCAGGGAGCTGCAGGAGATAAAACAGCACCCAGTGCTTGGCATTACCCCTCCCGGTGCCAGAGCAGCCAAACCCAGCTGAGGCGCAGGAGGGGCTGCAGGAGGAGTTGCCTGTTTGCCCAGCAGCACCTTCCTCATGCCATCAGCAACAGCCAGGGGCACATTCCTGCCCCTGCTTCCCCATGCAGCCTGCCTGTAACCCAAATGGGAGCACCAGGCTGCACCAGCAGCAGCACTGCCACCACCCCCTGGGGACAGCAGCTCTCCAAAGCATGAGAAGCTAAATGCTAAACCCCAGAACAATCTCAGCTCTAGATTCAGCCCCTAAAAGATCAAATGCCTCCCTGCATCTTTTGGAAAGGAAAATCCTGCCGGCTCACAGAACACCTTCAGTGAGGAGGGAGCACACTGGTGATGCTGAGAAAGGCTGGAGAGCTGAAACCAGCCCTAACTCAGTACCAGCACCTGCCTCATTTGGTTAATGAGATGCTCCCCACAAACTAAAACAGTTCTGTTTGCTACTGGAGTTTTAGAACCTTCAAAACATCTTAATGGTGTCTTTAAAACCCTCCTTCTGGGCTAAGGGAGCTGAGCCTGACATCACCTATGGAGGCCCTGGTGCCTCTCTGGCCAGATCTGGTACTAAGAATCACGGAACAGTTTGGGATGGAAGATCACCCAGTATCCCCCCTTGCCATGGGCAGGGACACCTTCCACTATCCCAGGCTGCTTCAAGCCCATCCAGTCTGACCTTGGACATTTCCAGAGAGGGGGCAACCACAGGTTCTCTGGGTACCCTGTGCCAGGGCCTCACTGCTCTCAGTTTTTCCAAGGGCTGGGTGACACTACAGCCCATCCCAGGGTAGGAGCTGTGTCACCACTCTGCAGAAAAGGGACAGAGCTCATGATTCTCTCAGATCCTACAAGGAGATCGACTGGTGTAATTTCAATATGCTTCCCCCATTTCTGCTGGGCTGGTTCCTAATGCCCACTCAATCCAGAGCCCCAGCCATTGAGAGAAATGGGATGCTGGCCCCAGTGTTTCAAAGCTGCAGCTCTGCTCCCCTACATGCTGTGCTGGTGTGGTCACTTACAATCCCAGAGGAATGCGAGGTAGTTCGGAGTCTGCGCTGGCGGGGAGAGTAAATCCAGTACCTCCCATCTGTGAACTGAGTGGCCCCAGGACAAGTGAGGTGAGAAAGGAAACAGAGGAAAAAAAGGGTGATGTGAAAGAGAGGATGAAAGAGAAAGCAAAAAACAAGGGGTTGGGCAACTCCGGGCCTGAACGGGTGAGCAGGTGGGAAAGCCGTGCAGGGAAGAGCAGCGCCCAGGCCCTGCCACACTCTGCACTTTTATTCCCTGGGGATAAACAGGAGAATGAAGAGCTCTCCAGAAGCAGACTTCAGTCATCAGACCACAGTCTCCTGGGACTGGGCAAATCCTCCTCTGCACACACCATCCCATTACCCACCACTGCCCCTGAGCACTCCTGCAGGAGCAGCTGTGGTGCTACTTGAGCGTACGCGTGCAGCCTCACCTGAGCTCCAGCTCAAGTGCTTTTCCAAGGAGAGCGCCCATGGGAACTCAAATCAGCTTTTCCCTTCATCCCAGCAGTGAAAAACACTCCACAGCACACAACACACATTTAATGCAAAACTCAGACTCAGATGAAGTATGAAATGCTGATGAGCAGTCACACTCTCTGTGAACACACTCTGCAGAATTTTCTCGTGGAGAGAGGCGCCCCTCAAGCTGGGAGCAGTCCATATGCCCAGGGACAGGGAGGAAGAGCAGCTGACCCTCACCCACCAGAAGACACTTGCCAGGGGAGCAGGCAGGATCTGCCTGCACACAGCTGCCATCCACAGGCAAGGAGAGGGCAGTGTTAAGAGGAGCCGTTTGCATTTTGAACAGCATGCATCCAACCCCAAACAAGCTGTAAAACAGGGCTGATTCCTTCCACAGCTCCCACAAGCCTCAGAGCGACTCGGCAATGAGTGAGCAGCTCTGCAGCAGAGTCACAAGAGTCCAGGGGAAGGCCAATGCTGCATTTTAGTTTAGCTGAAGGAGCCCATTGCATGGGCTCAGGTTGTCTCCAGCACCACAGAACTAACAGCAACAAGTCCGAGCAGGGAGGAGCCGGGCACCTCTTTTAATGAGGGTTCCAGTGCCCAGGCACAAGAGAGAGCTCAGCTCTCACGGGACAGGCACTCAGCTGTGCTCTGGGGATCCATGGGACAGGTACATGTTGCTAAAAAACCTCTTCTCTGGTCTGCAGGAGTTGCTCAGCCATTGTGGGAGCTGAGTGAGGACCAGCGCCAGGCTCCACGGCACTCTGCTGCCAACCACCAACTTACTCCCTGGCTCAGCACTAGACTCCCACTGCATCACCTAATGCAGCCTGCAGGGAAAGGAAAAGCCGGAGTTCACCAGAGCCCAGGGTTGCCCTCTGCAACCACCTCCCTTTGGCTCTAGGCCATGCTTGTGTCAGGAAAGCAGCCAAGGTCTCTGGCTGAGAAAAAAAAAACCTCTCTGTTGCACCCACATCACCTTGGCTTGTCCCAGGAGCAAATGTGCTGGCCTAGACAAACACTTGTGCTTGGAAGTAGAGCAGCACAGCTAGATCTACATCCACAGCAGAAGTGCCACCTGTGTGAGCCCCACTAGATGCTGTTCTGAGTTCTCCAAGTTTAATCCAGTTCCCTGCATTCAAAAACCCACCCAGCACCGAGGTCTCAGGTGCTTCACACCAAGATGGTGCAGGGCAGCCACTGCCCCTTGACTGCCTGGAACGATACTGACAGCCCTGTCCAACCCTTCCCATCACCCCCCAGGGGCCAGGTGGAGAAGGTCTCTTACAAAGTAAATGTCTGTGACTGGCACGTCGTCTTCATCCGAGGCCTGGCTGGCTGGCTCCGAGGCCTGGCTGGCCGTCTCCACCTCTACGGTGGCTGTGGATGTGACAATGGCACAGGCTGAAGAAGCTGCCTCTCTGCACAGGGGAAAGAAATGACAGTCTAGTCACTGCAGTCAGGACAGGAGCAAGCAAAACGGATTTATTACAGAGGAGCTTCTGAAGATGCTATGCTATCACATCCTGAAAGGTCACGTCAGGGCAGGTCAGGTCAGTACTGTGCTCAGCCTCACTGAACACCCATGACTCCAGCAAAGCCTCCAGCACAAGCAGCCACAGCTCAAAACCCACTGTGTGGGATCTGCAACACTCTAAAACACTCACTCTTTGACTTCTTCTTCAGGAGCTACAATCTCAACGTCACACTTGGGTTCCAGCTCGACACTGATTTGCTGAACCTCCTCCTGGACCCGCACCTCCTCGTGTGACCTGAAAACCAAAGGGGAGACAGGCCCAAAGACTCAGCTGGACATGAGTTATGCATAGCCCTCAATTTTAAGTCAGCCTGAATCAGTCCAGAGCCAGCCAAGCCTCTTGTGCAGTTCTGCCCCAGCACACAGCTGCTGCTGCTGCTGCTACTGTGGCACTGGGCTCCCAGCACAGACTCAGTGGCTGATTTCAGCTCAGAAGGAGCACTCAGACCTCCCAGGATTGAGGGTTTGGATAACCAAAATTCCCAGGGAAAAGAGAGGGAAGATTACAGCACTCAGGAATAACAAGGTGGGAAAAGAGGACAAGAGCAAAGGAGTTAAACAGCCAGTGCAGCAGGAAAGATGGGCAGTGTCAAATGGAGCATGGGAGCAAAGAGAAGTGACCTCCAGGGAAATCCTGTGTCCAGAGTCAGCCTGGCACCAGGCCAGAGCCTCTGACCACCTCCAACACTCCCAGCACACCAAAGCTGTTCCAGGGTTGAGATTTATCTGCACACTCTGGAACTGTTTCTGACAATCTTCACTTTAATACCTCATGCTATTAAAGTAATTACTTGTGCCAGCAGGGCTGTCCCCATGGGAAGGAGGAACAGGAGCCTGCCCAGCCGAGGGGCAGCTGTCAGAGAAGGGCTGAGCCCTGGGTTCACTGACAGCACTGCCCTGCTCCAGGCTGGCTCTCACCAGTGGGCAGCACTTCAGTCCAGCTCCATGCACAGAACTTGCTACACTCTTCCTCACAGGGCTGGACCTCAAACCTGGACTGAATTCCCCAGCAGACCAGAATAACCAGAGGCATGACACATTCTAGAGCAAATTGGGTAAGGTTTTTTCCATCTCAGCTCAGGAATGTAAATTCTTGCTTTAATAAATTTGTGTCTGCACTGGTTTTCACCAGGAGATCCCAGAGAGCTCCACAAGTGCACAGGTCCCTACTCTCTGAGGAAGGGCACATGGAAGCACTGGTATTAGAAAGGGACAAATTAGGCAAAAACCAGCAAAACACCTGCAGACAGTCAGTGTAGCTCTGGCAAATCTGTGACAGACAGATCTACTCTGACCAAGCCACTGAGCTCCCTGAACGCTCCCAGGTCACTCTGACTCACCTGAGCCATTTCTGGAGGAGCAGTCACATAACTACAGCACCTCCCTCCCTCCAGGAGGTACAAGTGAGTTTGAACTATTTTGGATGAAGTTACTGCATTTGCCACATGGGCCCCACCACTGGGGCCTGGGTTTAAGTCTCCAATTTTCAGCAATTTCTAACACTGGATTCTGCAGGATATGAGGTGCTTCACAAGTCCCTGGCACTTCTCACAGTGAGCAGGTCCCTGCCCTCCAGGGCAGGATTCAGCAACATGCAGCATCCAGAGGTATTTTCATTAGGAAATACCACAGAAAGGGATTTTTTTTTCACAGTGCTTATCAACTGAACTCAGTTAATCACTCAAAGCTTGGAACAACAGCAGATGCCTGTAATGTGGGGCAAACCCTCATCTTCCAAAGACCTTTCCTTCCAAGCATCAAACACTGACTGCAGGGAGAGAGGACATCAGCCTGTCAGGCTTGTCAGGCTTTTCTGGCTATGGCACATCCTAGGACTGAGTCTCTGATGTCATTTCAAAGCCTACTACACCTACACAATGTCCTGGAAAGAGAGGGCAGAGCCAGCAGCATCCACTGGCTCCTCGTGCAGATCCTGCTGACATGGGCAATGGGGTAATTTTTACTGATGCAAAATAATTCCACAATAATGCACAATAATTTAATGATAAGAGCCTCTAAAATCAGACACTCCTCTGCAGCACAGCATTTCTGTCCTACCTTGCCCTTTGCTCTGAGATACCACAGGAGGAAAAAAGCCTCACAGATTTCTGAAAACACTGGAAGCTACTTCTGTGGGGACTGAGGGTGCTCAGTGCCTCATAAAGTCAAAGCCCTTTCACTTTACCCTGGCCACAAGCAGATGCTGAGAGGAGGAATGTTCCTGCTGTCAGGGCTCACTTACTCACTTAAAGGGACTTAAATGACCTTCCTTGACTCTGGTGCTGGCTGGGTGGGTAAATTTGGACAATACTCTTGTCCCCTTCCCTATCAAATAATTGGTATTTTCAAAGCACTAAGAGATCTGCTTTGCAAGGAAAATTCTGTGTAAGAAATGGGGATCATCTGATTGCAGAAGCAGCTCAGCATCCACGCCAAAATCCTGGAGCTGCTGAAATTCCCACTCAGCCCTCTAAGTGACCTTTGCACAGGGATAAACATGAGGTCTCTGCAGCAGAGAAAAGATGAGACAAAAGACAGGAGACCCATTTCTCACCTGCCATCCTGCCCTGAGGAGTGTGTGCGCCTCCTGTGGAAAGAAAACAGGAGAGTTTGGAGGAGCAATTTAAGCCAGAAATCCTGCACTGTCCCCAAATCTACCTCCACATCCCATGAGGGAGATGTTCTACTTAACAGCTGACACTTCTTCCAGCAATAATTAATCCCATCAAAGCTGTGTCTGCTTGCTCCCAGGAGAGATTTAATTAAAATCGGTCATTAGCATTGCAGAGTGCAGGGCAGCCTGCCGGGATCTGCAGCACAGAGAGCCAAGAGCAGCCACTCAGCACCAGTGGGAGCAGGGAAATCTCCTCACCTGTACCTGGGCTGCTCAGAGGTCTCCGAGGGGGATCGCTCAGGAACAGACAGAGATGTTGACGATAGTGTCGTCGCTATGGAGGCCGTGGTAGCTTCTTCAAAGGAAGGAGGAGTGCAAGGGAGCAGGTCTGGCCTGCCTGCTGGCCCAGAGCAGGGCAGGGGAGAGGCAGGAAGAAAAGATGATTAAGTCAAACACCAACACTTCGCCTACACCAGCCCCGTGCAAGGCTGTTCCACCATGAACCTGCACACCCATACTGGGACTGGACACTCAAACCACAGACAGGCAGAAGTTTAGTTGGGTCATGACAGCCTCTCCCAAGGCATCCTCTGGGGAGAGCCAGTCAGCACCGCTTCAAGCACAACAGGCAGGGAATAGAATGCCAGTGAAGACTTCTCACTGGTGACCAAAGCTGGATTAAAGGCTTGGATCACCAGGGATAAATATCCAAGTGAATTAAGAGATGCACTGAGTGTTCAGTGCTTTGCACAGGGAGCAATCCAACACCCATGCACTGGAGGAGCTTGTCCTCCAGCACTCAGCTGTAAATGCAGCCAGATGGAAGTGAAGGAAAGGCAGCACAGAACCAGCCCATTCCTCTTTTCCAATGGAAAGATCCTGCCTGTTATAACTGCCCAAACGCTGTCATTGGAGTGCTGCAGTTCCCAGTCACCCCCCCCAATCTTTTTTTTTAAAGGTTAGAAAATGCAACTCTCTGTTGGCTTTGGGCTATGACTGATGGTGCCCCTTGGCAGCAGCTGTCTTGCAGCAGTGACACAGGCGACCATTTTTACTGCAGAACCCCAGAGTGCTGCAAAGAAGGGATTTGGTCTCCTTTGATGCAGAGGTGTCGCATCAAGTACCTGCTGGTGCTGCGACAAAACAATGCACTCTTACCTTCTTCCCTGTCCTGGTTAGGTTTAGCACCTGCAAAGCACAGCAAGACATGCAATGAAGAGCTATCCATGAGGAAAGATCTGCAGTTGGTGCACAGTGGGGAACTTGATGAGAACAAGGGAGGATCCTAAAGAACTGCTAGGAAAGAGAGGGTAAGCACAGAGGCAGTGCCCTGGGCGGGGCTGTCACCTTCATCATCCAGCGTGGGGTAGCTCCTGGCCGCCCGCAGGTCGTACTGGGTGTCGTCCTTGTCGGAGGCCAGCTGGCTGGCAGAGAACGCCGCCGTGGGACCCGCTGTCTTCACGGCCAGCAAGGCACTGCGCCCTTTCTTGGAGGGGGACGACTTCAGAGCTGGGGAGGCACAGAAGGGCAAATGTCGGTCTCGGGGTTTTGCTGGTCAGAGTGACTCTGAGATGTGTCAGAAAGTCTCTTCTCAGCTCGGCAGGCAAAGAAGGAGTCACAACTCTTCAGTTCTCATTCTCAAGGTTGTTTATTGTTTCTTATCTATAAAATTATTTCTTCTGGCCTGGTGAGGTCCACTCCTCAGGACAGACAGAAGCACTCTGGCCACCCCTGGAGCAGTGTTATCTTTTTATACTAAAAACTATGCGTATATCATTTACTGTGACTTTCTAATACCTATCACTTATGTTAATGGACGCTCCTCTGTTGGGTTAACAAGATATTTAATACTCTGCTTGTTTGATTTGTTTATATTGGTGATTTGTTAATAATGTACGGATGTAAGCTTGCGTCGTAGAGGGAGGACCTTACTCATTCTAGCATTAATTCTCCTATTTAAATATAGGTTAGTGTGACAGTGTTCACAGGGGTCTGAAGATGAGGGAAGAGACGAGGATCTGACTCTGTTTCAGAAGGCTTGATTTGTTATTTTATGATATATATTACATTAAAACTATACTAAAAGAATAGAAGAAAGGATTTCATCAGAAGGCTAGCTAAGAATAGAATAGGAAAGAATGATAACAAAGGTTTGTGGCTCGGGCTCTGTGTCCAAGCCAACTGGGCTGTGATTGGCCATTAATTACAAACATCCAACATGGGCCAATCACAGATGCACCTGTTGCATTCCACAGCAATAGATAACCACTGTTTACACTTTGTTCCTGAGGCCTCTCAGCTTCTCAGGAGGAAAAATCCTAAGGAAAGGATTTTTCATAAAAGATGTCTGCAACAGGTTAGCCTGTTAATGGGGAGGGAGTCATAAAGTTCTTATATTTTTGTAGTGTAGAGCTTTAACGCACTCTTTGTTGATGGCTGCTTGAGGGCCCACAGTGTAATTGGGAAATTAATATTTATCCGCTCATAGAGATTGTATTCTTTTTTAAAGGAGCTGTACCCCCTTTAAATCACCCTTAATTCGCTTCATTAGGGTTCGTGGGTTTTCCTTGGAGAATTAAGAGTGAACTTAGATTCATTTCACAGGCAACCAGCTATCACCCAGCTTGGCTGGCTTTTCACCTCTACTAACAAGTCATCCCACTCTTTTGCCAGAGACGGGTTCGCTCGTAAGTACCTCGCTTGGGTTTCGACTTATGTTACACAGTGAGCTTTTACTTTAAACCAATCTAAAAGTGCTAACATCACAGCAGAAGATGGAGGCTAAGAACAAGAAGGAGAAAGGCTGGACACGCTCAGATTCTTCTATCTTGCTCTCTGAGCCCCCGTTCTAAAAACCCCCAAAAATCTATTTTTTCACCCCATGACAAACTAATTATTATTCTACTTAAACTTTTGTGGCTTGCAGATCTTCATATAAGGTTGGTAATTTGCTCCATGGGTCATAATCAAAATCCCAGGTGTCTTGGGCTCTGTGCCAGGGTCTTTGAGCCCTCTGGCAGGGGTTCTGGCAATCCAGGACAGCCAGAGGGATGTCCTGAACTCTGACATGTTGGAACCCAGGACTCTGCCCTTAAGGACTCGAGACTCTGGCAGGGGGCTCAGAGACCTTGGCACTGAGTCAAAAATACCTGTGCCTTCGATTTTAACCCATGCAGAAAATTGCAAACTTTGTGTGAAGATTTGCAAGCCACAAAAGTTTGAATAGAATGATAGTTAATTTGTCACAGGGTGAAGAAGTAGAATTTTGGGGATTTAGAATGGGGGTTCAAGAGGCTCAGAGACCTTGACATGGAGTCAAAAACACCTGTGCCTTCCATTTTAGCCCATGGAGAAAATTGCAAACTTTGTGTGAAGATTTACAAGCCACAAAAGTTTGAGTAGAATGATAGTTAATTTGTCACAGGGTGAAAAAGTAGAATTTTGGGGATTTAGAATGGGGGTTTAAGAGGCAAGATGGAGGAATCTGGGCATGTCCTGTCCTCCTTCTTCTTCTTCTTGTCCTCCATCTTCTGCTGTGATGGTGACACTTCTGGATTGGTTTAGAGTAGAGACAGACTGTCTAACATGGGTGATAGGTATTGGAAAATGATTGTAAATAAAGTACACATAGTTTTTAGTATAAAAAGCCAACACCACCCCAAGGGTGGTCAGTGTGCCACAACCAACCTGCTGGACAGACCTCAGCAGCTCAGAGAAAGAATGTGATAGATAAGAGCAAATAAACAACCTTGAAAAGCAGAGCTGAGGAATCTCGACTTCTTCTTTGGTCATAGGGCTGGGAAAAAAACTCTTTAATACCTCAGGAGCCATTTCAACCACAGAAAACCTGAGAGTCAAAGCACCACCACCAGCTACTGTCACAGCAAAGGTGTTTTTCCCTTCACAAGGAGAGGCTCTGCCCTCACACACATCCTGTCAGGGCTGAACCCAGGTCAGGTGCAGGGACTGGGTGGAAGCCTGAGCAGACCAAGGCAAGCTGTGACAATCTGAGGGCTCTGCAGTTCTTGGCTTTGCTCTGTATCATGGAAAGTTTTGGGTTAGAAGGGACCTTACAAATGCATCTCATTCCACCCCTTCATGGGCAGGGACATGGGCACTAGAGCAGGTTGCTGCAAGCCCTGTCCAACCTGGCCTTGGAGACTTCCAGGGATGGGGCAGCCACAGCTGCTCTGGGTCCTCTGTACCAGGGCCTCCACCCTCAGATTTCCTAACTTCTCATCTAACCCTGACAGCTCAAAACAATTGTCCCTTGCCTGTCACTATCTGCCTGTATATAAAGTCCTTCCCCCTCCTTTTTCTAAGCCCCCTTTAAGCACTGGAAGGGGCTCTAAAGTCTCCTAGAGCCTTCTCCAGGCTATACACCCCCAGCTCTCACAGCTGTACCACACTGGAAACCCTGCTCAGGCTCCAGCCCAGACTCCTCATGAAGCCTGCAGCAGCAAGGCCAAGGTAAAAGCTCAGAGCACAGCAGCCTCAGAACTTGGTACTTACAGGAATTCTTTCGAAACACCGTGTTGGTCATGAATTTGAAGAATCTCTCTGCATAAAAGCTGGGTCTGTGTACTGACACCGTGTCCTACAACAGCAAGAAGCAATTGTTTAATTTTAAAATGATCCCTCAAGGCAGAATTTCTGTAACAACCAACACAGTCTTTTTTATTCCAACATTTAGCACTGATAGAGCCTTAAAATGGAAAGGCTTAACTGAAACACTCTAATTAATGCTATAAATAACCCTGAAGCATTGCCTCTGATTGCGTTTGATTATATTCTTGCTGTGATTTTATAATGGATTTTGGTGATTTTATTCCTTTGTAGACTTCCTGGATTTTTTTAAACACTGGCCTGATTGCATACATGAAATTTCTTCTGGCTTTGCTAGCTGCCATTCCAATCAAACCTGGATACTTTTGCATGTCACACAGACACCCAAATTCAGCCAAGGGTCTCCATACATTTCAAATGTTCTTGTTTAAAACAGTAAAACCGAAGCTCTTTCTGCTTCTGATGTTTGACTGCGCTTCCATGACTTAGCATCTCCACATTTCCTTTGCCACTTTAAGGGAAGCCAGGAAATGCAAGGCTGAAAAATGGTTTCCACATCCAAGCTTCTTTCAGAAACACACACCTGGCTGCTGCAGGAATGAAGCCAGCAAGGAAACATGGAAAGGGATTTGCTGGCAGAGAGCTTGCTGAGGTGGATACAGCCAGTCACCAGAGAGAACAGCCCAGGGCTCCTGACAGCCCAGGAACACACACACCTGGGTGTGTGCTCCTGGTGTCATGGGACACAGAGCAGGGGAGGAAAGCTGTGATCACAACAGCTCAACGTGTGAGGAGCTGGATTGAGCAAGGAAACCTGGCTGGGAATAAGTGGCACCACCCTGCTGGGCAGGAATGAGGGGCAAGAACTGCTCCTTTCATCAGCTGCAGCTGTGCTAGGTCAGGCTCCACAAATAGACACCAAGTATCCTGTGAGGCTTGGACAACTCCTGCCTCTGCACAGGCACTCACCCCATCATGGACAAGGGCCTTCCAGGTGTGCTCTAACTTCTTAATGAACCTAATTCCAAGGAGAAGTGGAGAGAAAAATAAAGATTCAGGCATGCACTTTGTACCAAGCCCCCTATCATACCCTATAGGGAGATCCCTGAGCTGCCAATGTCACCAGGACTGAGCTTTCTCCAGCATCTCCCCCAGGAGGTCAGGACTGCCTGGGAACACCACAGGGAAGGAGGAGCTGGGCTGGAAGAGGTACACCTTACACCCCTGGAGATATGCTTCCCACACTGAGGTGGGAAACTACTTCTTTATGAGCAGCTCATCATCCTGGACAAAGGGCTGAGTGTCCCCAGCTGTTCTAAGGACATGATGGAACCCATGGTCAGCTTGGGGCAGCTGTATCTACTCATCCTCACAGTCTCCAGGAGAGAACATGCCCTCTGCTTTCATTTGGTACTAAAAGAGGTGTTATCAGCCACAAAAGACACACTGTGTGGTGGTTTCTCTCCTCACCAAATATCAATTTAATGCAAAACCAAGCCACACTGCCAGGTTACCTACCTGTATGACTGCAGGATATCTATGATTCCCACGTGCAGCAGGAGACGCTCTCCTTTGCCGTTCACTGCTGGGATCCCTCCCATCCTGCAGGTAAAGCAGAACCTCAGCAGGTGCAGCCTCAGCCAGAGCACCTCTAACACCCAACTCTGGGGAAGGGCAACAGCAGCCGTGCTGAGGGGCTCTGGTGTGGTGTCAGACATGTTGTAAAACTGGTGTGCTCACTTTGTGCACAACCATGGGAGTGACCTGGCCTGACCCAGTGTCCCAGGGTCACTGCCTGCATGGCCAAACACCACTGTCCTGACAGAACCTGTGTTGTGTGGCACAGCTCTGCCTGGGCCAGAAAGCACCATGGAGCTTTCTCCTGCCTGCTTTATTCTGGGGATCAGGTTTTTTATCAGGTCAGTGAGAGCTGTCTGTCATTAGGGCAGTAAATCCTTAAGGAAAAAGGATTCCAGTCCTGTCCACACTAATGCCATCCTGCCAAAGTGCAGCAACCATTGGCACCAGCACACAACCAAAGCACAGGGGTGCCAGATACTCCTTCAGGCAGCCACTGCAATTATTGATGCTGCCTGAAGGACTGGAAACACCACAGTATTATCTCAGCTCTCAGGACTGCCCCTCCATCAAAGCCTCAGCAGCTGGTTTCAGACAGCAGCAAGCAGCAAATGCCATCATTCCTTGGCCCAAGGGCCAGGGAGCCAGGCAGAATCCCAGGTCAAGCACAGCACAGGCTTAGGACAACCCCCAGCCTCCAGCTCCAGCAGTGACCCAGCACTTGGCTACACTGCTGTCTGCTAACCCCACTGGGATGGCCTCAGGGAACTGCCAGGGATTCCAGAGGTGGGAGTGATGGAGAACTCCAGGCTCCTAGGGACAGACTGATCCCTATTCTGCTCCAGTATTTGGGTGCTGAGTGAGAACTGTCTCCTCCCCAGGGAATGGGTGGATATTTAGAGGCTGTTACACAAGCTGACAACCTACAGCCTGCCTAAGATGAGAGACTGCTGTGAGGCCAGAGCCTTACAAAACTATTTCCCACCCTGGCTTCCCTCTTTCCCACCACAATGGCAGCACTACCAAAACCTCAGGAGAGCTGCTCCCTTGAACAATTTAGTTACATTTTAGTTAAATGGTGTGCTCTGTCTCACCCCTCAAAAATGTAGGGTTTATTCCAAGCCTGTGATCCTCCCCTGAAGTATCAGGTATCTGTAATCCCATTGGCCCAAATCTGATTCTGTGCCCACCTTGAATCTCCCTGTTAAGGTGTAGGGGGAGACCACAGAGTCTCTCTTGACCCCTTTTCCCCCCAGGCTCTCCCTCTCTCCCCCTCCCTTCCCCTCAGAAACCCTGCTGTTCCCGGGGCTGGGACCCCCAATAAACCCTCATCTAATCAGCACCCCCAGAAGCCGTGTGGAGTCTCCTTGCCTGCCTGCTGCTACCAGTGAACAGACAGCTTGGGGAGCCCCCCAAAGGAACAGCAACACCTGTGGGCCTCCTGAGGGATTTCCCACTCCAGCCTCCACCTCCCAGCAGCAGGAGGGAGCCCAGGTTTCACCTACGTGTCGTCGGTGTCTATGGCCTCGCCGCGGGCAGCCCCTCCCTGGATGGACTCCATGGCTGTGGAGTACAGGGCCTTCTGCCCCACGGGACGCTTCTCATCCGACGTGCTGTGGGCTCCCTCCGACAGCTGCTCCCGCTCGTGCTGGTCTATGTTATGAACCCCAAGCAGGAGGCTGTAGTCCATGATTTTAAAGCTTTCCAATACCTACAGGTTAATATTGAGTTCAAGAACAAAGAGAAAGTATCAAGCCAGCAGCAGAAATACAGACCTTGAAGCATGGAATCAAAGCAATCAAAGCAAAGCATCCCGTCCACATCCCCACTAACAACTCATTTGACAGAGCCTGAAAGTTTCTGAACCAACAGTGACCTCTGGGCTTGACTGTACAAAGTTTGGCCATCCCACAATTACAGCAAAGGCCTGACGACTTGCAAACAACACCACTGTATCTGCTGCACAGTGACTGGGAAAATGCTCCAGCAAAGCAGCTACAAGGGGAGCATCTGCCAAAGTGTGATGGACCAGGCAAAGGAGCACAGCATCAGTCCTCAGAGGCTGCCATGAGATCCAACTCTACTGCCTGGCTTTCAGGGAAAAGTGCAGGAGAAAGGACTGATCCTGCTCTGGGCTCAGTAGCAAGGTTCTCAATCAGGAATTGCTCTTCCTCATGCTCGAGAGCCACAGAGTTCCTTACCCTGTCCCTGAGCTGCCCCCTCCTTACCAGACAGTCTCGCTGCAACGTCTTCACCAAAGCACTGAAGGTGTCTGCATCCAGCATCAGGCCTTCAGGCATGTCTTGGATGAAGTCCAGATCCTTGTACGTAGGGCTGGACTTTTCTTTTTCCTTCTTGGATGCCCGGCGTTTGTAGGTTGAACCCTTGAGGTCGAATTTCAGGTGCATTTTCACCACTCGAGGCAGGATGTTGTTCATCACGACCACGCGGATGTTTTTGCCCCCAGACTGCACACAGTACAGTCCATAAAACTTGGGCAGCAGAGTCCGGGGGTTCTGGTTCAGATTCTGCAGCAAGGGTGGAAAGAAGCACAGAGAAAGGTCATTTGAGCAGAAACTTCCTGCTGTATTCACCACAAAGCATGTCAACAGTTGGACTAGGGATTCTTTGCTGAGAAGTTTTCTCAACTTAACAGGAGCTCAGTGTATGCAGTTGATAAAGTCCTGCATTTCAGTGGCTTTAGGACCTGAAAACACAGGGACCGAGATGTTCAGCACTCTCTGGGCAAATAACCAAGTCCGGAAATCCCCTGCTTTCCCCAAGTACAGCAGCTAAAAAAAGGAAACCAAACTGGGAGAGAAATAAACACAATAAGTGGGAACTTCAAGCTTAAAAATAACAGCTCTCTTTATCTCTCCACCAGTGTCAGAATCAAGAGCTGTTCTCCAGCCCAGAATAAACCACGGACAGGGTTATTTTTTAAACAAAACAACATAAATGTTTTCCTCCTGTTGCAGAGCTGCTTTATAAAGCAGTCAACCAGAAAGCACGGATATCCTGTTCTGCTGTCATCTCCTTTTTTTAGGCAGCAGAATAATTAGGAATGACATGACAGGCAGGATTTGCTTGTTCAGCTTTGGGCACATTTGGGAAGGAAACAGAACTTCTCTGCACGCTGTGGCAGGAAAGACAGACCTGACAGGTTCTGAGAGACAGCAGAAACGTGATTGTATTAAAATTTAATTCCCCTCAGCTCACCCACCTGGGCACAGCAGTGTGCCCTCTTGGAGAGTGCCAAAGTAATGGAGGCAGGTAAATGGAAACAGCTTTAAAGTAACTCAGGATGAAACCACCCTGCTTCCTTTCCCTGACTCCTTTGACACAGGTGGTTTCCCAGGAGCAGCAGGGTGGTCAGGGGTAGCACCACAGAACCCACAGATAGTGGAAAGCTGCAACAGGTCACTCAGAACTCTGCATCAGACAGGTAAGTTCAGTTTAATTCACTGACTGATGATGGCAGGATTAACAATGCAACTCCATTCCCACTCAAAACCCCACACCTGATTTACCACACACATTAGGCAACAGGCAGTGCTTTCCAAGAAAACTCATCCTGTCCAGGAATGTGAGTGTCACCTGCAAAAGCAAGTGATTCACAGAATCTCAGGATGGTTTGGGTTGGAAGGGACTGTAAAGACCATTTGGTTTCACCTGTGCCATGGGAAGGGATACCTTCCACTGTCCCAGAGTGCTCCAAACCCTGTCCAACCTGGCCTGGAACATTCTCAGGGATGAAGCAGCCACAGCTGCTCTGAGCAACCTGTGCCTTCCCCACCTTCATAGGGAAAAATTTCTTCCTGGCCTGGCTGTTACTCACACACAGACATCCCATAATTTGCCTCTCTCGGGTAAATTTTCCCTCGGGTAAATATTGAGTGAGGAAAGGATTTTCACAGAACCAGTGTAGGATCACACAACCCCACTGCACCAGGCACACAGATGGGGCAGCAGCATTGCTTCTCATCACCTTCTCCTTGGCATCTCCACAACAAACAAACAAACCCCTGGTCGTTGTAACTGACTGTCAAGAGTCCTCATCCATAAATCTGGGACCTCCAGCACAGTTGTGCAGGGAGACCAGCTCCTGGTTTTTACACCAGAACAGCAGGTTTGGGTCCAATTTACTTGACCCAATGCAAGTCTCTGGGTCTCAATATCCTGCCTTGCCAGACTGATATGCAAAGCTGGCTGGTACCTTGGGGGTCTCCAGCTTGGAATTGCTGCCAGTGGGAGTCAGGACAATCCTCAGAGTAATGGTCAAACAGCAGGAATGGGAGAGATTCAGGGACAGCAGTGCTTTCCCCACAAAACCAGGGTGGTTGCATTATTGCCTGGAGAAAAGGAGGCTCAGGGGGGACCTTTTGCTCTCCACAAGTCCCTGACAGGAGGGTGCAGCCAGGTGGGGGTCAGGCTCTGCTCTCAGTCAACAAGGGACAGGATGAGAGGAAATAGCCTCAAGTTGTGCCAGGGGAGGTTTGGGTTGGATATTAGGGGAAATTTCTTCATGGAAAGGGTTGTAAAGGATTAGAACAAGCTGTCCAGGGCAGTGGTGGAGTCACCATTCCTGAAAGCATTCAAATAACGTGTGGCTGTGGCACTTGTGGACAAGGTGACCATCATGGTGCTGAGCTGAAGGTTGGACCTAATGATCTTGGTGGTCTTTTCCAAACTTAAAGAGTTTTACTATTCTACGATTGCAATCAGCAGCCATCCCCAAATGCAGGCTGGGGCAGATGCACACTGCCAAGTGAAAAAGGAACAAACTAGTTCTGGGAAAAGGGCACTCAGAAACACACATCTGGGAAGCCATTCTGAGGCCAGAACATGCCTCCAAACTACAGCACAATTATCTGCCTCATGGTTACCCACAGAGTTTGCAAATAATCAGTAGCATTTGTGCTTCTGGGACTGGCTTCATGACATGTTGTTAACACTGTCCCTGGCATGGGGGCAGGTGGAGGACATGCCCTGTGAGATGCTCTGCCATGACAGAAAAGCTGCCATGACAAAGCTGAGCTGGGTCTGAGGTCCTGGGTGATACACACCATGTAGTATCCAGGAAGGAGCTTCTGCAGGAATTCAGCTTCCTTGTGCATCACAGTTTTGATGATGAATTCATCGTCGCTGGTGACATAGAAGAGGGAGCCGCTGGCGCCGGGGTTGGACAGCTCGATCAGAGGCTCGTTACATAACGAATACTGGCAAGAAAAAGAAAACAAGGTGATGCTTCATCCCCCATTAACTGCAGATTTGAGTTCTATGCCCTCAAGGGTCTTCCCCATCATGTCATCTCCCTGGGAGATTAAGGGGTAGCAAAGCTCAAATGAGAACTATTTTCATTATAGGTTTGGTCTGAGCAACCAAACTGGTGGACAATTTATAATTAGAGACTAAGATTACAGTTCAGAGCATCCCAACTGCTCAGTATCCAACTAATCATCTGCTTTCAGGAACATCCAGCCTTCATAATGACATCTTATCTGTTCCCATTGTGCCTGCACGCACGTATCACATTCAGGCTCTTTGAGCACAGCCCAGCACAGGCTGATGGGCACAGAGGATTCCAGGAGACACCACAGCCTGCTCAGGGAACCAGATATCACTGTGCTGGAGGGAACACAACACACTGGCTGTTCTCAGCAGCTCCCCTGGCCTTGTGCTCCCCTGTTCTCTGCAAAAGTCAGTGCCAGATTCACAGAATCCCAGAATGGTTTGGGCTGGAAATGACCTTAAAGCTCATCTCATTTCATACATGGGCAAGGACACTTCCACTACACTAGGTTGCTCCAGGCTCCATCCAACCTGGCCATATTTTTACAGCCACACCCCACTCCATCAATCCTGCTAAAAACACATTACAGATCTTATCCCAGGGGTGCAATGAAAAGGGACAAGCCCTGCTCAAGCACAGCAAAGAGTTCTGCACTGGGACCTGAACTGGGAGAGCACGTCTGGTCATCAGGACACAAACAGGTCCTCAAATAAGGACCTGCCTAGCAGCAGAGGGGAAAAAAAAAAAAGGAGAAAGCAAGGCAGGCAGATGCACATTTTAGCTCAGTGCCCACCCAGATAGTGCAGGGGTCAGGTGGGTTCAGGGCAGGATCACAGAACTGCTCAGTGAGAGGTGAGATGGGGAGAGAGAGGTGATCAGAACAATAAATAAAATGCTCATCATTATGTAATGAAAACAGCTTTCAGCTCTGCACAGATTAACAACCCCAGACCTGATCAAGCTAATCATCTCATGCATAATTAAAGGCATTTGCTGCTGTGGCAGGCAAGAGACAGGAGAAGCAGAAACAACAAATCAGAGCCATGACCTTTGCAACTGAGGCAAACTCCTTGCCTGTCCTCAGTTCTGAACACTCATCCATCAGGCAGCACTGCCTTGGCTGGCACAGGAGGAGATCACCGTTACCCCCCCATCAGGCACTGGCACAGGTTTGTTTCACTGGCAGGTCCTCAGCTCTAACCACCCCTATCTACAGGTGAAGTCCCACAAAAAGGGCTGTTCCAAAAGGGGAGGATGTGCTCCCATGGATGTGTTTGCTTCCCCAGTTCACACAGAACAGGACGTCACATAAAGGCAAGGGCCCAAATTCAATCACAGGGCACTTGAAGCCCCAACAGCTTGTACTCCAAGGTATTTGAAAACCAGCCTTTCCAGCTCTGAGGAGCTTTTGAAGCACAAGAACAAGCTGTGGTTTATTGTGTCTTTTTAAGATGATTAGAATAACTACTCTCACATAGCTCTCCAGTGAGTACACAAGAAAAAATTCCCATCTTTGTCCTTAGAGTCGTAGGGGACATTACAGGGTTGCACCCAGCAGAACACAACTCCTTTGGCTTGTAAACACAGTAAGTTATTGTTACCACAAGGAGCAGAGAGGGAAGCCCATTGCAGGGCTTACACAGCTCACACTGTGTGCAGGGCATGGCCTCCCTCCATGGGAGGCAGCTGCCATTCAGCAAACTCAGACTTGGAATCATGGAATGTTTTGGGCTGGAAAGGATCTTAAACCCATCTCATCCCACCCCCTGCCATGGGCAGGTACACCTTCCACTACAACAGGTTGTTCCAACCCCATCCAGCCTGTCCTGCAACACTCCCAGGGATGGGGCAGCCACAGCTCCTCTGGGCAACTTGTGCCAGGGCCTCACCACCCTCATGGTAAAGATAAATAAAGGAAGACAAAACAGCAAAATCTAAAAATATCTCCATACCAAATAATCATCTGGACGAATCCCAAAGAGCTCTCGGAAGTAGCGGAAAGCCACTGGGGCGTAGGTCTTGAACCTGAAGTCAGCGTAGTGGTGAGCTGGGGTGAGGTTACTGCCCTCGCTGCACAGAACACACACATGGCACAGCCTGTTAGCACTCACCAGACAGGGACAGTCACACCAAAGCTACTGTGTGCTCCAGATGTACTGAGCCTTGCAAAAAGACATCTTTGGAACAACAACCACCACCTTTCTTCTGTGGTAGGAAAACAGGAAAACAGGTTTCAAACTATCTGCCAAAATCTATTTCCAGAGATTAAAGGAATAACCACTTGCCAAGCAGAATATATTTACACAGAGAACATAACTTTTATGAGCTTTGTTTATTCACAGTTAGAGAGCTCCCAGAAGGAGTTGCTTCCATTTAAAACATGGTATAATTTTGTGGAAGAAATTCTAGATGGACGGCTAGGAAGACAAGCATGTAGGAAGGGTAACAAACTGGAGTGCACAGTACTGCATCCTTCACTGTGCTTCCCTGCAGGCCAGTGCACTGCCGATTCCAACACTTCCCACTGTTCTGTTTGTGTATCAGGGAGCAGATTTAAAACATTCAGAGCATGCAACTCTGATTTTAAGACAGACAGATGGAAGCTCTATTGAAAAATCAGTGAGAGGAAAAGAAGTAATTAATGCTTTTTTTTTTTTTTCTCCTTCTCCTTTACCTTGGGAAAAAAATGCTCTCCACCACGTAGAAGTCCTGCATCAGGACATCTCTCTCTGGCTTGGAGCTCAGATTTCCCACAGTATATCCAATCCCCAGCTGGATGGCCCCCTTCAGAGTGGATGAGGTGGTCTGGCAAAAGGAAAAGAGCAGTCAGTGAGCATTTCACAGCAGATAATCACAATAACATCCCCTGCATTACCACACAGTCATGTCTGTGACTTTTGTGGGGTCATCTCAGGCACCACATGCTACTAACCAAGTTTTACCCAGCTGCTGAAGAGATCAATTAGGGCTTCAGATTTGCTATTTGCAGGACTGTGCTATCCAAGAGTGCTGCATAAAAATCTCAACCAGATTAATAACTACTGGGCCAGAACTTCTCTCAGCCTGTCACCCACTTGGGTGCCATCCCCCACTCCCCAGACCCAAACCTTTTTGTAGGTGGTTTCCCCAGAAGCATCCACACTTCGATGACCAATCCTCTTTCCTTGGCCTGGCTGTCCTGGCAGTGAGGGGCCCTGCAAGGAGAGCACAGGGACAGTCAGGGCACAGGCTGAGCTGCCACCAAGCACATACAGGGCAGCACAGCCACACTCCCACACTGTACTGCACACAGGGCTCATGGTGAACACCCTGCAGAGTGCCAACAGGCGAAAGTGAAGCTCTTTGAATTATACCTCCACCCCTGAAGATGAGTTAGAATAGCAACACTCCACCTGACACCCCCACTGCTCACTGCAGAGCCCTCAGCGAAGGCGCCGAGCTCGGAAAAGATCCAGCTGCCAAGATTGCTCTGGTGCTTGACTGCAGTTCCCATTGATTTAAAACAGTGATGTATTAAATCAAACAGCCACAGAGACTTATTCTTAAAATCCCACGCCCTCAGGTGTCACACTGACACCTCGGGTTTTGCTGGAGAGATCAGAGCCAGCTGATGGGGACAGCCCAGCCCCACTCACACTGAGATAATCCATTTAAGCAAGATCTCATCTGTTTACAATTCCAAGGCTGAGCCCACACAGGCTGAGCCACAGGAATGTCTCTTCCACAAGTTTTGAAGTTTACAGAAATGCTATAGACTGCCAGCACTTCAGGGTGACAACAAACCTGCTCCTGTCCCCTTCTCCTCTCCTACCTCTGAGTCTGCCTAGGCCTTTCTTTGCCAACCCAGAAGGTAGCAGGCTGTGGCTGCTCTTTAGCAGCCTGGTGTAACCATGTGTTGGAAGTTCCCTGCAGCTCCTTTTGCAGCCCTAGGGACTCTACTCTACCACCAGTCACCACTGCACCCACACCCAAGCTCTCTGCCAGCTGACACCCCCATGGATCCCGGAGCCCACCAGACAGCCAGAAATGCTGGTTAGAGACCAGCACCATTTTGGGGTTTGCTACATTGCAGAACAGCTCTGGATGTTCCTTTGAACAACATGCAGAGAGATCCAAGGTCACTTCCCAAGTGACACTGTTCCATCCTTGTCCCTCTTGAGTGCTGCACAGACCCAGCTCCAAACCAACTGCTCCAGCAGACAATGGATAATTTTGCTCAGACTAAGAAGTTCTTTGTACTTTAGCTTTTGATCAAGAGCTTGCAGTTATTTCTGGTCAATCTGCTAGTACTTCTCATACTAAGGGGCAGTCTGAGCTCTCCTTCAAAAATCCTATTTCCTACCCTATTTTATTGGCAGGGCCAGCCTTGCTTCTGAGCACTCCTCCTCCAGCAGCTGTGAGCAGCAGCACAGCTCAGCCTCTCCTTCTACCAACCCCCTGGATCTTACTCCATGCAAGCCCCAGCTGTGCTGTCCTGCCTTGCCAACAGCTCCCCATCATCCTCCCAATGTGATGAGCAGACACAGGCAGGGGAAGGCACTGCCATCCTAGGAACTGCAGTGACAAAAGTCTCTTCCAGTCTCCTGCTCTGCCTGTGGTTGTTTCCAGGACAAGAAAAGTGGCCCTATTTGTGCATTGAATGATGCAACACAGCAGCTGAGCTTCTCACTACACATATTCCTGTGCAGGTACAAAAGAATCAAGTGTCACATTCCAGGCAATTTTCTGGCAAGATTTTGCTGTTCGTGTATACAAATGCTCATCATCACAGGTGAAGAATGGGATGGGGATATAAAAAAAAATTGATCAAACAAAAATCATTTGAACATGATGCCCTAAACCATGAGTGTGGGTTTCAGGGAACAGCTTTCAGCACAGAGCCTCCTACTAGATTCCCTGCTGCCAACTGTGAAGAGTTTTGCTCCAGAAGGTAACAGTGACTCAGAACCTGTGACCTGGAATATCTACAAGAGAAGATGAGTCCCTGGAGATGTTCCCCTGTTTTAGGGCTTCACAAATCACAGCCTCCCCAACTCACTCCCAGTGGGTAAGTGTGGGAATAAGAAAAATAGAAACTTCCACAGACATGGAAAGGTTTGATTTGCAGCCTTGGGAGAAGCTGGGATTGATGTAAAAATACAATACACAGACATTAAGCAGAAAAAACATGAACTTATGTTTCTGTAGCTGTAAGTAAGAATATGCCTTAAGTAAGTGAGAAACTACTGGATAAGATAGTGAAGGGTTTATAATGTAGGGGTGTGTTTGTATAGAGTAAGCTAAGAGTTTAGAAGTTATAATAGAAGCATATGTGCGTATGTCTGATAACAGCCCATTGGATAAAAGTATCCACAGTGCAGCAGAAGTAGGTAAAGGTGATAGCTTAGAAAAGCAAAAATAAACCCTGTGGCAACTGTCTATTGGTTTAAAAAGTTATATATTGTCTTGTAACAAAGAACTTGTGACTACTTTGAGCTATGGCCGACTGCTTGCTCCTCTAAAATCTCACGGCCTCTGAGATTGATGTTCATCTGAGCAATAAATTGTTCTTAGCCAGAAAATAGTCCCATCCCTTCATTAAAAGCAGTGACAATGACAGGTGAGACCCACCACAGAGGCCTGGGAATGCCCAATGCATGCACCCCCCAATTCCCACCTCCAGGTGCTGGTGTGGGAGAGGTGCCCTCAGTCACTGATGCAGAGGCATCATGGATCACACAGCCAAAACTGGCCACATGATGGGCACAGTCCCTCCACATCCCTTCTGTGGCTGCAGTGATGCAATGAAGGGACCCCAGAGACCTGCCACTGATTTTATTTCTCCAAAATAACAGATACAGATTTTGTAGTAATCTTCTAAATATTTTGAAATGCAGTTTTGCTCAGAAAAGACAGGAAGACAGGCAGAAGAGTTTCCTAGAGTTCTGTGTTCTCATTTCTCAACACAGGACTGTCAAACCCAGCTTTACAAATCTCACCTCAGTGATGGCTGTCTTCTTTGGGCCCAGACCTGCAGACAAAAGGGAAGAGCATCAGGAGAAGTAGGGACATCAATAAAAACCCCCAACCCAACCACCAAAACTCTCAGAAAACAACTCCAAGCTTTGTCTTTTCAAGTACACCAGCCAGCCTTTAGAGCAGCTGGTTTTACTCAGTTTTCAGCTTCACCAGTTCAGGAATCTGATGGTACAGGAGTCACCCGAACAATTTCATATTCAGAAGCACAAAAATGCACATTTTTCCCAGCGACAGCATTTCCTAGAGGCTTCAGCAGAGAGGTCTGCTGAATCTCTGCTGCCCCATTAAGCAATGGGTCCACACTACACTGAAGAGTTGGATCCACAGAAACCCAGAGAGACACTCCTGAAGCTGTTTTCCAGCCACTCAGAAGGCACTTGACAAACTATATTGATAATTGAATATATTTATAGAATCCTATGTCCAAATATATCACACAAATGAATGCATCATTTATCTTTATCGCTGCCTCAGGAGAAGCCACTGCTGCTCCATTACAGCCAACAGTGGAAATCAGGGTTTTGCCTTAAGCTTTTAGGTATAAAATCAGAGCTGGAAACACAGGCCCAAACCCTCTGACATGAGGCCATCTCCCACTTCCTAGCCTGAGTTTGTTTTTCTGAGCCCAAGTTTGCAAAAAGCTCCTTAATTTCAGACAGCAGAGAGCACAGGCTCCTGTGCAGAACGTGGGAACGTGAGATCCAGCCCAGCTGGCTCCTGAGAGCGACCATGAAGGATCAGGAGCTGCTGGAGAGGGGCTCCCCACACGACCCCAGCAGCCCCCAGCACCTCTGTGTGCACAGAGCAGTCCTCATGGGAGAATCTCCTGCACAGAACACAAACTCAAGGGACAGCTTTGAGGCCTTATTTCCACGTATGAGTCTGCCACTCCCTGCTCCTGTCCTACAGTGTTCCTACAAGCACAGATCCTTAGCAACCCATAATCCTTCAGAAAGGGCTTAAATTTGCAAAAGACCATTGAGTGCAGTTTTGAGTTCATCTACATTCAGATTAGGGGGTGGTCTTCTCTGGGAGGGACTGGATGTCCTCTGTCCCTCCTGGCTGGAGAGCAGGAAAAGCCCAAGAGCCCCCAACTTCTGCTGCTTCAGCATCTCCCCCTTTTGGTGAAGGAAGAACTTTGAGGGTTTACCCATGGTACCTGTTCAACCCCCTCAAAGAGAAGCAGAGATGCTGCTCCAGGGCTTGTTTCAGAAGGAGCCTGAGCAAGAACCTGGGCATCAGAACCTGAAGGGGCTCCAGGAGAGCTGGAAAGGGTCTTTGGACAAGGGCCTGGAGGGACAGAACAAGGGGAAATGGCTTCCTACTGCCAGAGGGCAGGTTAGATGGGATATTGCAAAGAAATTCTCCCCTGTGAGGATGGTGAGGCCCTGGCACAGGGTGCCCAGCACAGCTGTGGCTGCCCCTGGATCCCTGGCAGTGCCCAAGGCCAGGCTGGACAGGACTTGGAGCACCCTGGTCTATAGGAAGGTTTCCTTGCCCATGGCAGGGGGTAGAACAAGATGAGCTGTAAGGTCCCTTCCAACCCAAAACATTCCAAGATTCCACGATAATGGGATGACAACACCAGGGAAGTGTGTGACTCAGTCACATTTTGGAAAATATTTCAGACTCCGGAAAGCAAATAAACAACAAACCCAACAAAAAACCCTTGGTGATCACAGGGGAGATGAAGCTGCTCTGACTCAGAAGTGCTGCAGGTGTCTCACCATCCTGATCTCCACAAACTGGGCAGTCCCTCACGTGAAACAGGTCCTGTCAGGTGGCATTTGGAGCTGTCTGCAGAGCACCCCTGGGGCTGCAGCCTGGCCTGGGGGCAGAGCCAGGGTGGCACGGGAAGAGTCACTTCTTATTATTCTCTTTTAAACAGTGCCCAACTCCTGCCTCAGGAACAGCCGCTGAAATGCCACTCCCTGTGCTGCACTGCAAAGGGGCAGAGAGGAGAGAGCAGAGTGGGACCCCAAAGGGTGCAGAGCAGCTCCCCTTGGGCACACACTGAGGCTGGGCCCTCAGTGAGGGGTGTCACTGACACAGGTGGGTGACACACACCACAAGGGACATGAACCCTGTCACTCCTCCAGCTCAGACTGCAGCACCACATGGCTCAGGACCACCGCGAGCTCAAACTGTGCTGAAAAATTCCTTCTTTGGCCTAAGCCAACACAATTTTGTGATCATTGAACAAAACACCCTGCAATGGCCCAGAGAGAGGGAAATACAGCTCTGAGTGAGCATTTGGCTAATGAACTTCCAGGGCACAAGCTGAAGCAGCACTTCCAGACCATGGGGGAATCCAAAGGAGCTAATGCTGCTCCAGATTGAGCACTGGAAATCACTGGAAACACAGCACAGCTGAGAGCCCTGGGCCAGGGGAACGTGCTCTCCCTGCACGGCTGCCACTGCTCTTCTGCTGCACTAAGCTCGTTTCTGCACTTTGTCACAATTCCAGAACAGGAGATTATCTTTAAATTTGTGATAATTACCACAAGCCACTTTCATTCCCAGCTTTTAAGTGTCTGCTGCTGTACACATACCAAATGTGGAATCAACACCAACCATCCACACAAAGGAAAGGTATTGGAGGCAAGAAACCACAGATTTCAGGGACAAAAGATGCCTGACGTGGGCAAGAGCAACCCCAGCAAAACTTCCCTCTGCCCCCACCACTAATAAAAATTAATCAGCTTTATAAAATCAACTTGTCTAGTCAGAAAATGTAAAAATCATCCCCTGGCTCCTCTGTGTACGGCACATGGCTGTGCTCAGCTCAAACAAGCTGACAGATGGTCTGGCAAAATCTGATTTAACTCCAGCTCCAGGGGTTATTGAGCCACGAGGCAGCGCTGGGGTTTGCGGGAGCGCTGCTGCGGGAAGTTTCGACACTTAATGAGCTAATTGAAATAATTCTGATCCGATTTGGGGTGGCTTACCAGACCATGCTCAGAAATGGGATGAGAGGCTCTTGGAGGGAAACCCTGAGATGAAACCCCAACTTTCTGCCCAGCCTCCAGTCTATGCCTGGGCTCTGCCAGGCACTTCATGCACGCTTGACCTGCTGCCTTCAGTTCTGTTCTCATCTGTGCAGGGCTTCGAGTGACCCTGTCCCAGTGCTTGAGCTTCTGTGCAGCCTCTGAAATAAACACTTCAGCTGTGGCATTCAGCAATTCCCATCTCAGACTTAACTTGTGTTTTTTCCATATTCACAGTCACATTGGACATCACCACCACTAAGCTGACGCCCTGCAGGACAGGCAGGAATTTCCTCCTGGAAAGCCTCTGCACAGGAAAGAGCTCAAGTTTCAGCTCTACCAGCCAGAGGAGCAAAACTTCCACAAGGTAAGGGTGGGCAGGCCCTGGCACAGGGTGCCCAGAGCAGCTGTGGCTGCCCCTGAATCCCTGGAAGCATTCCAGTCCAGGCTGGATGAGGCTTGGAGCAAACTGGGATAGTGGAAGGTGTCCCTGTCACTCCCTCCAAAGCAGCTGAGACAGGTTGACTTGCCAAAACCCTTCATCATCAAAACAGACATTAGAGGCTTCTGTCCACTGGAAAGGAATTCCTTAAAAGGTTTACAAAAATCCAGCAGAAGCCTAATTTAAGATCACAGAATATCCTGAATATCCTAGTGGGATCCTAGAATATCCTGAGTGGGAAGGCACCCACAAGGACCATCCCAGCCCTTGTCCCTGCACAGCCACCCCAAGAACCCCACCCTGAGCACCCCTGGGAGCTCCTGGAGCTCTGGCAGCCTTGGCACCATTCCCTGGGGAGCCTGGGCAGTGCCCACATGATCTAATAACGAAGTTTTCTTTATATACACAGACATATATTTATAAATTTTAAGTGTTAGATGCTTTATGATGCCCTAGAGAAGTCAAAACAAATCTGAATAACCAGTGGACTCCTTTCTCTGATCAGAACTGCTGCTGCAGCTTTACTAAAAGCTTCTCTTTAAGGGTTTATAAGGACATACAATGTGACTGGAACTAAAAATATGTGAAAATGGAAATGCTACATAAGCTTCTTGGCTGGAGGCTGCAACAGCATGACTCTCCCAGAAATCCAGCACACCAGAGACCTGCAGTTTGCCACTTGCACCCAGCCTGGTCTGGTGGAAGGTGTCCCAAAGGAGTGTGCCTATCTCATTTTTCACTTTCTCCATTGAGAACAAGACAATGTGACACAGCTGAGCAGCCCATTTGGACAACGAGGGGATGTGGAGACTGTGACCAGGACATGATTCCCTGTTCCATCTGACCCCTAATATAGACTTGCTCAGTCAATGCCTTACAGGCAAAGGCAGTAGCAAGAATGCCAAGACAGGAGCTGTGGAAGTTAAAGTCCCTACACATGTATTGCTATATATACAGGCAGAAAGGATGGAAATTAAACATATCCATCAAAAGAGACCACTATTACTACCTGTAAGAGACTGCTGGTAAAAACAAATTAAAATTAATGGAGACTGGGGGAAGGTGATTCAGCAAATCATGGAATGGTATGGGTTGGAAGGTACCTTAAAGTTCATCTCATTCCACCCCTTGCTGTGGGCAGGGACACCTTCCACTAGACCAGGGTGCTCTGAGCCCCCTCCTTGGACACTTCCAGCAATGGGGCAGCCACAGCTGCTCTGGGCACCTTGTGCCAGGGTCTCAGCACCCTCACAGGGAATAATTTCTTTGCAATATCCCATCCATCCCTGCCCTCTGACAGGGCATTCCCCCTTGTTCTGTCCCTCCAGGCCCTTGTCCAGAGTCCCTCTCCAGCTCTCTTGTAAGCCAGAAAACACTCCTGAGCTGGGAAGCAGCCCCTGAGCCAGAGCAGCAGCCAGCTGGGCTTCCCAAGCAGCCAGCAGAAGCATCAGGCTGTGTCTCAAGGCACAGGCAAAAGCAATCCCTGAATTTTTTCTCACACGCCACATGTGTGGCTCCAGCTCCCAGCACATGGAGCAGCAGCACAGGGCAGTCCTGGGAGGG